AAAAAAAAAAAAATTACTTTATGAAGAAAAATAAATAATTTCCCATTAAATAAGCTAAGCGATTTTTTGTTTTATTTTAGTAATCAATATTTATATATTTTAATAAATAAAAACAATAATTATTTTCAAGAAGAATTATTCTTATTCAGAATATAAAGGTTGTTTGAATTTAGATTATATAATTTAAATTTCCTTCACCGCCAGTTACCTAAAAAAATTTACCTTACCGACAACTAATTTCTTAGTTATGACTTAGAAGACTTAGAAGACAGATCAATTGTCGTTCTTTTGTAATGTTTCATGGGTTACAGTTTAATTTTTTTCATAAATATGATATCTAAATGTTTTAATGTGTGTATTTTATTATATAGAATTTACTATTATTTGACATACATTAAGTGTTATGTATGAAGTATTAAATGTATATAACTTGTTAGAGAGCAAGTTACTTTTCGAATTTCTTTACAATTATTACATTAGCTTCATTTCCGTTCGGATCACTCAGATGACCCCGATTTGTCAACTGACATTTTGAAATTTTGCGCAGTTTTCGAACCAATTATTCGAGTTCTAGCAAAAAAGGTAGCAGATGGTGGGAGTTGGATTTAAATTCATGATAATTGTACTAGATGTCGCTGTCTTACTACTAAGAAATTGCAAAAAAACTTACTGTGAAAACTGTGAATATTAAATATATATACATTACTTATATATAATATATTTATATGTGTTGGTGTATAGTTTGATGGATAGTGAAAAGAGGTAGCTAGTACCGGAGTAGACAGAGACAGAAGTTTCGGCTAGTGTTTTTTATACTCCTTCTTCCTGTGTATCCCTTATATTAATCATCGACAAAAGTCCAGATAAGACGTCGTTAAATATCAGTACGCCAGTGTTGTGCGTCGTTAACGCTGAGACGCGCCCTCCACCGACCTTGAAACACTATTAAAACTAAACTTAAATAAATATAATACAAACACATTAAAGTCACAACTAGTCCAGTGTGAATTCATGTTATAGCAGTAGCAGTACTAGCAGTAGCTGAAAATAATAGTCTAAAATAACATCCACTTAAAACAACTCGCTCTACCTCAAAGGCGCTTGAATTAACTATTTATTTTTGATAATTTACTGTCAAATCACTGATTTTTTTGGTTATATTTATTGAGGCTGATACTCAGGTGATAAAATGGCTAAGAAGACATACGATTTGTTGTTCAAATTGCTGTTAATCGGCGACTCAGGGGTTGGAAAAACTTGTATTCTTTTTAGATTTTCGGATGACGCGTTTTCAACAACTTTTATTTCTACAATAGGTAAGTTCAATGATCACAAGATCGATCGCAGTAGGTAAGTGCGCGTACATTAGCAGCACTTTGTCCAACAGCGGAGTCTTTCCAAAAACTGTCGCCGAATACATCGCCCTTGCCGAGTATCGCGACGACCTCGTCATCCTGGATGACCTCGAGGCTACCGGTAACAATAAAGCACAGCGAGTCTATGGATTCGCCAGTGTGATACAGTAAATCTCCCGGAGCGCTGTGCGACATTGTAAAATGCATCGCTAGGGCACGCAAACAACCATCTGAGGCCAATCTGCAACACAAAAGATCTCATTGTTTCTCATGATAAACAATAACCTGTATCACAATACCAATTATAGTCTCTATTACTCTCCAAACAAATCATTTTCGAACGATTCTATTTTAAGTATACCAATTATAGCAAGTCTATTATTAATTACAGTTTACTATTAATTGAAAATAATTATTAGCGAGTAGTCACTGGGCGATTGCCCGAGAGATAATTATTATTTTACGAATTGTCATTTACATAAATAATATTTTGTAGAGGCTTATTAATATAATTATTATTTTTAATATTTATTTTTTCAAAAAACTGGTTTATAATATTTGTATAGATATTTTTTTCTGACGTAAGTCATTGAAAATTTTCAGTTTATTGGCTGCTATCCAGTCTAATACAACAATTCTTTCTCTAATTTTATTTATAATAGTGTTAGCCTGTATTCCCTCCAGGTATAAACAATTTTTATTTTTTCAATTCGTCATTAAAGATGAATTTGACTGAAAAAATAATTCGGACGGCCCAGACCAGGACTCGAACCTGGATCTTTTGGTTACGCCCCAAAAGCTCTACTTGTTAAGCTATCCGAGACACTGTCCATAATTACTATTCAGTATACTGGTCTGGGCCGTCTGAATTATTTTTTCAGTCAAATCAATCTTTAATGACAAATTTAGATACGAATTAAAAAAATAAAAATTGTTTATGCCTGGAGGGAGTACAGGCTAACACTATTATAAATAATTAGAGAATTGTTGTATTAAACTGGATAGCAGCCAATAAACTGAAAATTTTAAATGACTTATGTCAGAAAAAAATATCTATAAAAAATTATTATTATTGCTGTATCATTAATAGTATTGATTAGAGTAAAATGAACATTAATATAAAAATAATTACCTAAAAGCTGGATGTTCATTGAAGACTTTACGATTTAAATGAACACAAATATCGGCTTTCATGTCTTTTGGACAGTAATTAAGTACTTTATCAGTATCCAGTCCTTTAGTCATAGCCCATGTGCTTACAACGTAGTCCATAACTCGTTCACTAAGAGCTTTCGGTACCTCGTGTAGCTTCATGAATTCTCTAACGTTGTTGAGCATGTCGTGGTACTTGGCAGTTGCCGAGGTCATCTGCTGGATTATTGTCGTAACATGTCCAAAGATGGTAGCATATAGAAGAGCTACAACCGTCGAGTTAATGCGAATTAGTTTAATGCGAATGAATATCAATGAGCAATAAATTTAAATTCATAATTCATAATCATAATACAATAAAAACAACTCATAACAATACAGCTAAGCTATACTGTACAATGTACAAGATTACAAAAGACGTAAGATTAAGGTAGTAAAGTAAAATTTTACCGGCAATGATCATCATGCAAATGGTGAAAATTTTTTCGTTGTCCGTTTCAGCTGCGACGTTACCAAAACCAACAGAAGTCATACAAGTCATGGTAAAATAAAGCGCCGTGACGTACATAGTGCGTCTTGATGGTCCAGCAACCAATTCTGGGACTGTACTCGCGTTAGTCCATAAATAACTGTAAGGTGATTGTGTCACGTTCGCGAGTTTCCACAGCCACGAGTATTGAACGCCTCCATCCGCATCTGACCTTCCTATCGAGTACCTTGAAAGCAATATGATGCACACAATAATCGTGATCAGAATGATATATTATTTGTGACATTTTGTTAAAAGCATTCTTCATTTTATCTAGTGACTATAAAGCTAGCTCTATCAAAGTTCACGGCACATTCATAATATTAGAAAGTATATAAACAGCAATAATGTAATCATAAGAATAATGTTTTTTAAAATAACAATAACAAAAAATGTATTTATTCTAGAATAATAATTATAATGCGCTCGTGACTTGAAATACCCGCTGAAGAATCACCTTAATATGACATACCAGATACAGGCAAGCCAGTGTGCAACCAACATGTAGAAGCACAGCAATAAAATCAGCATAGCTGCTCCGTACTCTAAGTAACGATCCAGTTTACGCACGACTCGTCCCAATCGCAGCAATCGCACCACTTTCAGAGCTGAAAAAAGACTTCCTATTCCGTCTTCGTCGTGGTCGAAGGCATTGAAGACGTCGTAGGGCAGACAACTTAGTAGATCTATTATGAACCATGACTTCAAATAATTCATTCTTATTACCTGTAAGTATTAAATATTACATTTGATAATAGTTGATAGTTAATAGTTCTTTATTGTTGGATGTAATTGAAAAGTTTTGAAAATTCAAAAGTACACGCTTCAATCGTTCAAATTATGAAGAAACTAAAATGTTTACTTTAGAAATATATATAGTGAGCACTTAAAAGCTACCCTAGTTGTTTCTTAATTGTTCCGTAAATCATTAAAGTGACGCCCCATCAGATGGGATTTGAAAAATTAACTTTTACAGTTTGAACTTTGGTAATTTGACGCTTCAAGTGTTCGAATAAATGAAAAAATTTTTTTGAAAAATTAAATGAAAAATTTTTTTTGTGCAATAAGTGAATGAATGAATTGTAATTCTTTTTGACTTTTAATTTATGAATGCCCATTTGTTTCTTGATAACCGCAGATTTCAATTCTAAAATAATATGTTACCAACAAAATCAAATAATGTATGTTATATATTTTAGTGTCTCAAATAAAGAAATATCTTTCAAAAAGGACAAATTACTGATTTTTGTTGAATAATATTTTATACTATTATTTCATAAAACTGACGTCTTATAATTTTTTTTTTCGTTACAGAGGCATTCTTCAATGGATATGAATAAACAAGATTTCAAGACCTTGAAATAGTAATAATATAGAGGTGGACGTTTAAGTCTTGCAAAAGAAAATATTTGAGAATATATAATAAGAGTATAATTACTACTTTTATAATTTTTTTATATTATGCGATCATGAAACCAAAGAAATAAGTATAATTACTTTAGGATCGGAAACGACTTCGCCACCGGCGCCGACGAAAGTCGTATGGAAGTTGAGCACAATGTCAATGAAGAATATAACGTCAACTATACTGTCAACTACAAGCAACGAAACATCTTCACTGGTTTTGTTCTTGAAGGCCACATTATACGGCACCATAATTGCTGTATAGAATGTCAGACAAAGGATTATCCAGTCCCAAATCGCTTTGAATGCACAATAATGAAGTAAAATGTGCGGAGGAGTTTTTGGCGCTTCTTGACGATATTGCGGCATCACATCTGAATTTAATGACATCATCTGCAATACAATTTGAAATATATATATATATTATATAAATGTATATAATACGTAAATTTAATTGAAACAAACACTTACATGACCAAGATGAGATTGTTTTGTAGTCATGGGCAAAGTATCTTTGACAACCGGTATATGAGAGCTGAATTGTGAGACCAGGACGGACCTCGATCTCGTGACAGATCTCGCGAGTTTGGCAAACTTTGATAGCCCGCCTTTGTTGTCGTCCGTCTCGATCGGTTGCTTTAGTGCCGTTATATCCCGGAATGTCAGGAGAAACAGCACCACCAAATCTCGCTCGTTCTTTATCGGTGCTATTTGTAACAGCAGCCATAGTGGAGTCTCTGTGGACATTTTAATTAATAATCAAAGCTTATTAACTGGTAAACTTTATCAATTTAAACTAGATAAAAGTTTATCTACATAATTTACAATAGATTTTTAATAATTAGAAATAAATCTCTGAGAAAACTATCTATGCATGGATCATTATATATTTCAAATCTACAACTCTTTTTTATTTATATTGTTGTAAGCGTTGACAGAAACGTTTGTTTCATTTTTATCTCTGGTTATAAACGAGTTACAAATTTCAAAGGCAGTGATTGATGAGTATTTTAGACTTGAATTTTTTTTGGAGGGTTTTATCCAATCGAGTTACTGATAAGTTTTTTACATTTTCGTTTTACAATTTTATTGTATCACATTGAGTTCTATGTTATCTCCTCAACCTTGTACTTTTCATTTTAATTTTTAGATTCACAACTCGGTTATAGATGAAGACAATGTTTCTTCAACGCATAAATAATATTAAAAATGGAAGAAATGAAAGAAAAAAAAGTTTTTGATCTGACAAAAAATGACATAGAAAGATCTAACTAATTAATTGTAGTTAATGATGAATATTTTCTCACCTATTCCTGGATTATATAGCTCTGTATGTTTTTTTAATTTTTGATTAGTGATGAAAGACTATTTTATAAATTGTTAAGTTCATCTCTAGTGACTATGATAATAAATTATTTGGAGAGCATTAAAATGGGCGATGCTTTAGGTAATGTGGCTCATGTTCTCACGCAAAAGCTCCTGTATATAAGTATATATATATATATACATATATAAATATACAGGTGAATAATTTTCGTGCGCTGTCGAGCTAGGTTTTATTAACTCTAGTTTACAAACGGCATTGGTATGGAAGGTAATTACTTTGATAAAATCAACAACGACCTATTACTCAACTAAATGTTTATAATTATGTAGTTATTGATTGGTTCCGTTGAGTAACAAGTTTAAATATTATTTTAAGTAATTAAAGAGTTAAAAAAGAGTTATATTTTCATGCATTATTATAATTATTAATGTTAAATTAATATAGATCTAAGAAATTTAATTAATTTATAAAAATAACTTTACTTTTTCTAAGTACAATAATTGTTAAGGAAAAAAGTCAACTAACTGCAGACGAGAAATAATATAAAACTTTTTCGAAGTTAAGAAAAGAAAAGTGAAGATACGTAAATATAAAAAGTAGTATAAAAAATTTCTAGCTAAGAAAAATAGTCTTCTTTTCACAATTCACTACTTTTTCTATTTCGGACAAATATTTTGCAGCTGATAACTAATGTTGTCGATTAATTATTGAGGAGCTTTATAATCCTAGTTCTTATGTACACAGGCAATATTCATTATACGGATACATATACAGGTTTGTATCTAGTTTATGCGCTTACGTTTTAAGTGAGTCTATATGTACATTTTAGATTACATATATGTATGTTATATGTTTACAGGTATGTGTATGTATACATGGAGGAACACTCTGAAGCCCGGAGTTTGCAATTAATCCAGAACGAGTCGTTACACTAAGTTATGAGATGAAAATTTAAAAAACAGTCCTCCAAGATGACAGAAAATAAGAGTTAAGAGTAAGAATATAAGAAGGTGACATACAAATCCAACACGTTTGAATCTTTCATTTGCTCTTTGCTTCCACCATCACGGAGTGTTGATTTAATTCAATGAGTTCCGTCATAAGTCACGAGTCTACTTTACCTGTTTCGCATTACTCAAATATTTAACTTCCACGGATAAAACAAAAAAATTAAATCTCTTATTAAAAAATGTTAAAAATTTTTTAAGATTATCATTATAATTTTCTTAAGAAGTAAAACTTTTATTTAAGCTTAACACTTAATACTTATTTTTCCGAGTACGAAGCCTTCTGGGACTCACGTAAATTTTCTATGAATATTCAGCGAATCGTTAAGTGTACATATAATCTTCGAGACTTAATCGAACTAGTTACAGAGTCCAGCATACTACCAGCGAATAAATTACTGGGTATTAATTACAAGGATTTAATAAAGATATACATAGTAGTGAAAGGAATAATAATTAAGAAGAAATTTGTAGAATAAAAATAATAGACATTTAAAGATTAAAATTTATATTAACAATAATAAGAAAGTAATAAGTGATAATTAATTAGCAAATAATTATAGCAATATATAAAATTTAATAAAAAAAAACTTCCTGATCATGATCACTTAATTTTTTTGAGTAGAGCGAGGACCTCAGAAATATAAAACGGCCACTTACGGTGCATGATTGAAATAGACGCAGATTTTAAATTGGACGAGCGAGCAAAAGAGATATCTACATCGATAATCATTGAGAGAGTACCTGCATATAGACATACCTCGGGGGTTACCTTTAAAACACAGAGAATTACATGCTTGATTATTTAAACCCGTATTTTAGAGTTTTTATTGTTTAATCTTGGATTTTATACATTATTTCCACTCAGCACACACCTCGTGTGCACACAAAAGTTTATTATTATAATTATTATGTTTATATCTAATTAACTGACTTGCTGGTTTATTAACAAACTCATTAAAGTAAAAAACTAAGGATTAATTAAAAAATTTCAATTTGCATTGGAGATATTATGATAAATGAATGGAGAGAATTTTTTAAGCAAATTTTATTTCGCCTTTATGACTTTTTTATTAAGTTAAAAATAAAAGAAAAAGAAGAACTAAAATATTGAGGTGATAAACGATTTTGGTGGTACAAAATTTTTTTATAAATTTGAAAAACTCAAGACTAAACTACAAGAACTTGCGGTTAGATAACGATTACTAGAATAAGAATAAAATAAAAGGAAAAAGAGCACATCTGCTTCCACGCTTTTTTATTTTTCGGCGTGAGTATTTTCATTCTTTTTGCTCAGTTTTCTATCCTAGTAATTCTTTCCTTTAAAATGTCGCAGTACCACCTTATAGACAAAGTTATTTTCGACAAGTGCGACATATCTAACGAAACGGGAGAGGTCGTGGCAATGTAAAGAAAAGACGGCAATATACAACTCACTGTTCTTCTTGTAGAGGAGGATCTCAAATTGATCGTGGATCTGACCCTCTAAACACTCCTCGATCCTTGCTATTGTTTCCTTGTCCGTTAGGTCACCGTACATGAATCCGCAGCGACATGATTTTTGCATCACCTAAAAATCACCCACAATTTTATTACTTTTACATAACAATTAATTTATTTTAATAATTTTATCACAAATTTATACATTTTTCAATAATATAAAAATTAAAAAAAATATTTTATTACTATTATTAATAATAACTAATTTTTTTGAAACATATTAAACATGTATTTACTGAATTAATTCGTATATCTGAATCCATTTCACGCCAATCATTTTTTTATAACTCGATAGTCTAGCAATTATTGAACTCGAATAATTAAAAAAATACTAGTGATCAATACCAATTTTAATCGCGGAAAATCTAAAAAAAATTCCAACGCTTAAGTAATTAAGAGAAAATAGTTAGATTGCAGCTATGAATAATTAGAAAATTTTAATATTTTATTAGACTATCTACCACTGATGGAGATAAATCGTATTAATATTAATTTTAATATAAAAGCTTATGTATGAATAATACTGACCTCAGCACGATTAAATCCAGATATTTTGCAAAAGCTCTCGTTGCAATAAACGATAGGAAAATCGACGATTTGAGCATTGGCTAACAGGAAGCTGCTATCGGCTGTAAATATCATAAAATTACTGTTAAAATGATATATAAAAAAACAGTAAAAATATGTGATACATTGGAATGGTATTTGTCATCTTTTAGGCGTATTTCAGTTTAAATAAATACTAGATAAATAAAATATTTACAAATATACGAAAGCGTTATGTAAGCGTAATACTTTTTGTTATTCCTGTCTGAAATGAAAATACAAATTTTATGTTTAAAACAGATTTTATTTATTTAAATTTAAATTTTAGATCCTGGCGATAGGCAGAAGCATGAGATAATGCGGATGGCTGGGGTTCAAACCCCAGTGCTATTCAAATTTAAATTTTAAGGTGGAAAATTGTCAGTATAGATTACCTTTTAAAAATATTTAAAAATGAAATTTGTATACTGTTAATAAAGTTTCAAAGTTTAATAATTTACATTTACACAGTAAAAAATTTTTCGTCAAATTTAGCACAAAAATTTGTGTTGATGACTTTTTTAACACAATTTGTGTTGAATCAACATACTAAAATGTTAAATTCTACACAAACATTTTTACCCTTTACACAATGACGAAAAATTTTTGACTGTGTATATTCAACGGAAGTGGTAAACTTGTAAATGGGAAGTAAAAACATGAAGCAACGTTGAATTTATGTTATAAAATCTCTGTAAATTCCACAAAACAAAACAAGAAATTATTTAAAAAAAAAAAAGTAGTCTTCGTTTTTAAATTCAATCTAATTAAATTCTTGATAAAATTTTGACCTATGATTAATCTTTCTTTTTGTTATACAGATCGATTTGTGTAAAATAAACACCCGCATCAATTATCTGCAGAGAAAATCCTGATCTTAAAATGTACATAATAACTGTTGAAATCCTGTTGGATTATCGTCACAGCAATGGAAAGCAGCATGACAGTGGTTGTGTACAGTACAATCAGCATGATTCACTAGTCAGTCTAATTGAACCCTCGCACGATTTGGAGACACAGACTAATCCACGATAGAATCGATGGAAATTAATTAGTACACATGTGTGAAATGCATCAGAGAATCAAAGGATGGGAGTGATGCGCTACGATACGCTAACGTATTCACAATTATCGCCTAAATATATGTATAGATCTACTATATTGTGCAGACACATTATATGCACCTACCGGATCAATCAAGTTATCGGTACACCTATATGCTAAACTTGCTATATCTCTATCTGCCTATCTATTGGAAAATGTTTCAAAGCTATTGATAATTGACAATGTCTTGTCACGCTTATTTGAATCGATAATTAGTAAGAGTAGCTCGTCACGTTCTCATCGTTGTCATACATCGTGAATACATATATATTTACATACTTGTTTTAATAATCACTTTAGTCTACTATTGTACTCAAGATCCTCAATATCAAGAACTTTTTAAGTTGATGAACTTTGAAGTGTCTTAGTCGATGTTTTACTTTTTCAAAATAAAATCTATTCTTAAAACTAGATAATCATCACATGTTCTTTTTATTTTTAGGTAAGACTTAGATAATTATTTTATTTTCTATACTCGTTTAAAAATTTTAAGTTTGAAGAAAAGAAAGTTAATTGAAGAAGAAGAATAGTTAATCGAACAAGTGATTTAAATGGTAATTTAAATGGTCTTGTTCTTGCTTCTTTCGAGACCAAATTTTTATTTAAATTCTGGCAACTACAAAAAATGTAATCAAAATTAACTTTTAAGTTGAAATTTTTTTCATCCAACAAAAAATATATGAAAACTTTAAGGAAATAAAGGAAAATTTTTTTCAAGTTCAAATTTCGGTGACGCTCAAGGAATGGTAATTGTTTTTCGCAAACCTCGGGAATTCAATGAAAACTCTTCATTCGGGTAGAATGAAACCTCCAAGAATTCACCGTTGGCTTTCAGTTATTTTTTAGACGTATTTACAATAACAGTTTTTATATTTTAAAAACTTGTATTGTTGAAAATATCATTGTACTAAAAGAATTTTAAAGATAAAAAGAAAAAAAAACTATCTGAAAGTTGAAGAAAAATTCACAGTGAATCAATACTGAAATATGAAACTAAAAATTCAATCAATGATAATGATGATGATGAAAAAATACAGCACAAAGGTATTAAATTTTTTACTGATAAACTGAAATGTAGGATTTAGTCCCAAATCCATGGGATTGCACACTCTTACCCGCTGTGCACATTTGCCCCACACACGGAGAAAAATTAATTATACTACCTACTATACAAAAATAGTAACTCCTACTATCTAAAATGGTTATATAATTAATTAGTAACAAAATAATAGGTGGTATCGTTGACAATTGTAATAGTTACTATTAATAATGGTAATGATTACTATCGAAAATAATAATTATAAATTATAACTGTTACAATCGAAGATGGCAACTGTAACCATCTCAGATTGTAAAAAATTTACATTTTTTTCTTTGAAATATTAAAATATTTTAAGTTCCCTTCGAAATTTTTTTTTGAAAATTCGATTTTTTTAAAGATTTTAAATTTTTTTTTTGAAATTTTAATTTTTTTTTTTAATTCGAATTTTATTGAAAATTTTGATTTTTTTGGAAATTAAAAATTTTTTTTGAAAAATTTGGCGTTGAAACTTGTTTTAGACAAATAAAAATTTAAATATAAATTCAATCCGAATTTAATCCCAATTTTTTGTGCACTACACTGCACTACAGCTGCTTTTCCATTATTCAGAAATGCATCCACGGTAACGCAGATTCTTAATTTTTTTAATATTTTTTACTAACTTAGATAGTAGTTATTATTATTACTGATGGTAACTGCAACCATCAGGTTATATTAGGAATTACGATTTTGATAATAGTAGTAACTAATTAAAATAATAACAGTTATTATTACTGATTACCATCATAATAGTAGTAGTTACTATCAGGATGGTAAATACTAAAATTCAGATGGTTTACTTAATTATTTAAATAATATTTACTACTATTGAATTCAGTTAATAAATTTTAACATAACTAGATAATAAACTCTACTATAAAATTTTCTCCGTGCATGACTAATCAAGAGTATTAAACTCGATCGTTTATTATTCACAAAAAAATCAAATTTATGAAATCAATAAAAACTTTTATAGGTATTTAAACTTAAAAGGTAGGCGCAAAAAAAAATTTCTAATTACAAGATAATAAAAAATAATGTAGAAATATTTTTTTTTCTTTTTTTTTTTTAAATAGTGTCATATTCGACCTCGAAGTTTGTGATTAACGGGGCTGAGGTTAAGGCTACTTTTTCCCCAGAAAGAAACTACACTTTATTGGCCTCTGTAAGTAGTAAAGTCGATTAAAACAGTTTTCTATTATATCGGACATTCTTTTCCGAGTTTAGCAATCAAGTTGCTGTCATTTATGAGCTTCTTTAAAGTAGAAACGACTATTTATGTGCCTGTACTGCACATTGAACAAAAATTTTGGCTAGAAATTTTCTTTGGTTGTCGAAAAGAGAAAAACTATTTGTTTAAAATGATACTTAGCGCGTAACATTACCGTATTTTAGAAAAATTGTAAAATCTTATAAATTATTTAATTTTTATGAAAAAATTTTTGTTTTTAAAAGCCAAAAGAATCTTAGATTTGAAAATTTTTATTAAAAAAAAAATAAAATTTTTCCTAAGTAATTATTAAAATCCTTTTTCTTGATTTCAGGCACCCCTGCTGCAGAAAAGGACATTATATATTGTTATTGATTACCCACGTGTGTATAAAATGTATCATGTCAGCAAAAGTAAGGAACGGATAACTTAAACTTTGATTGTGACAGTTAACTCGGGTAAAGTTACCGTAAACGAGATAGAGAAAACTAAACTCGATGTCACTTAGGTACTCCTGGGGGTAAGACAACTTTCAATGGTTTTCAAGCTCACTGGAGAATAAAATGTATACTTAAATATATATATTTATTTTTATAGATGTATATATGCAAACGAAGAGAAGAGAAAGGTCAATCGAGTTGGCACTTGTTACTATCTCGACTTTTCTGTATATCCAATTGACACAATCAAACAGACATCGCTCGGTGATTTCATACAATTTATATTGTTACCCGAATGTAAATAATGCAACTGGGTTGAATGTTTCTACTGCAACATTATATGAGCTTAACATTTTATTTTTATGCATACACACAAATAAATAAAGTATTTATATTTTTTATCTATTTTATTTTCACATAAGTTATTTTTATCGTTCAGTTATTGTTGTTTATTTATCGTTTGTTTAGTATCGGGTTGTTATTGTTATTTTTTAAAGGTGGATGCTGGATATATATTTATGGACAGTCAAGAGGAGAATTATAGGGCTTAAGTAAACGAGTTGTGCATTGAAATCACGTTCAACAGCATGCATATTTATTTTGCGGCGAACCTCAAATCCAAGGCTTCGTGGACTTCGCAAAAAGTCATGTGTGCTGTTTTCACACATGTGGGAGTAGAAAATGTCAACTGTTATATTTTTTCGATTTATTAAGTCTGTTTTTATATAAAATATTCATAAGCTAGTTTAATTAAATTTTTTCGTAATATTTATCTGTTTACTAAAGCAAAAAAATTTATTTAAAAGACAAATTTTAATATCCGCGTATTTTTTCATATTTTTATTTTATTTATGAAAAGATTAAAGTGATTGGATCGAAAGTATTAATAAAATGAACTGCAATTTATACTTCTCAACTATAAATGAAGGTGTAATCTTCTTAAAGTATTTGAATATATTTAAAGAAAAAGTAAGTCGTTATGTAATATAAATTTTAACTAGTTTAAATATTTAGTTTTATTTTAAAAATACGTTTGAAATCATAAATAATTTTGTTGGTGAAGTAGTAACGACCAGAAAGTGTTTTCTAATAAATTTACGTATCGTTAAAGCGACTGACTTTAAACAAAGTAAAACTTTATGTTGAGTACAAGTTTTCAAATGAAGGTCTCGTTACTTATTTTTTTTTTATTTATTTCATCGATAAAGAAAGCAAATGACTCATGTTAAATTAACAGGCACGGATTTTGTACAAATACATTTTTATTAAGAAAGTTTTATCCGGTAAGTAGTTTCATAAATGCATTTTTGTTCTTGGAATTGATAAAAAAATATATAGTTACTATTTTTTTATTATTTTTGGCATTTTAAGTTTAAATTATCAAGTATAGGAGATAAAATATCATAATTTTTGGGCTAATCATTAGTTAAGTACATTTAATGTTAAAAATTTAAACAAAAAAATTGTAACTTCTATTATAAATTAAAATGTAAGTAAACATCTTTAATACTTAAGATCATAATAATCACAGTATAATTCAATTACTTGGTAAGTATGCTAAGCTTATATGCCTCATTATCTTATAACACCTAAAACGTTTAATTTTTTTTTTTTTTTTTTTAATTTGTTTAAAGTAAGTCGCATAAACTACTAAGGTCATGAGCGACTACGGTAGAGGGTAAACTTTTGAGATTGGAACTCGTTTGTATTTCTTGGGCTGAGCAGAATAATACACTTAAATATTGAAAATATTCATTGGTGTACGCCGGACTCGAACCCGGTCCAATGCTTTGGTAGCAAGGGCCGGATCCGACAGGCTACTGCGCGCCTACGTTTAATTTTGTTTTGAATTATATTAAGAATTACCATTTTTTGTTAACATTTCATACAAAAAGTCCTTAAGGGGTTATATACAGTTAGAAGGCCGAAAAAACGCGAATTTTCCAGAATTTTTTCTGAGAGAACTTTTAAATTCATTGATCTAAAAATTTGTGCACATATTATGGTATCTTTTAACTGTATTTTAAGACTGAGTATTAGTAAAAATATTTATTT